TGGGCGGGAGCTGGGGGTTGGTGGTTCTGTGGTGTTGTCATCCCACTCCTTTCCCAAGCTTGTCATCTTTGTATGCACTCTGGCATTTGGGATCGGGGTGGGAGCATCTTGAGAAAGCAACAGAGCAGATCCAGGGAGATGTAGCTAGATACTGACGGGAGCTCGGGCTGCTTGTGCCTTCCCCTGGTACCCTGTGCTGAGCAGGCTGTGATTCACCGTGTTGCTATCCAGTTAGAGCAGTTAAAGCTCATCACTAGGAAGCGTTGGAGCCCTCCCTAGGGACATGATCCTACTGGGAGCAGGAGTGTTGCTCAGTGTGTGGTAGGACTGGGTAAGGAGCTCTCCGGGGTCTGAGTTCACCCTCCCTAGCTCTGGACATGACCTACTGGAGCATGAACAAGTTGGTACAGAATTTCCATGCTTCCAGCTTTAGTTTATAGGATGCTTAAGCCTAAACAAAAAAAAAAATCACTTTGGTAAATTCTTTTTCAGAAGCTGGAGAGCAAGGTGTAGCTCCAGTCAGGGCGTACGTATCTGCCTGCTCTGGGCGTAATGGTTCTGTGGTAGTGCAGAGTCTGGCCGGGAGCTTCGCAGGAGCCCTCTCCTACGCGCCGTAGTTCGAGAAGCCCCCACTGTTCAGCAGAGGTCTGCAATCACAACACAATTCTTACAGTCTGCTCGAGTGTAAAGAAAAAAGTATCAGTTTTTAAAATTAAGAATAATCTCCTATTAATTTCACTTATTGCATCCTTCCCAAGATTATAGGGTAGGAGTGTTTTGGGACCTCAAATTTGTCATGTAACTAGCCACCGAGACAGTCATCTATTTAAACTCACCAGCTTTTTCAAGCAGCAACAGTCATTGCATCCTTCCCAAGATTATAGGGCAGGAGTGTTTTGGGACCTTGAATTTGTCATGTAACTAAGCCACCAAGACGCTCATCTTCTTAAACTCACTGGCTTTTTCAAGCAGCAGCAGTCAAATCTTAAAGATCGTCCAGACCTTTTAAAGGTATGACCAGGTCTGGGGGGAGCTGAAAATGTAGTGTGTCTCTGCTTGTGTGTGCTGGAAACTCAGGGAATGACATTCCATGGAAACATTAGAGGTGCCAGTGCCTAAATACCAGCATCTTACTCAGGGACAGTTACCTTTGGGATAATGCAGGTGCCTGTCAATACTTTGTGCCTCAAAGTTTCTAAAGCAAAAAAGTCAAGTGGATTATAAATGTTGAGAATGACAAAGGTGGCTGAAATACACAAGGTACAGGACCCTTCCTTACCCTTTGAATTCATTAAGAACCAGACGTGCCTGCCCAGTGCTACAGGGAACGTTAGAAATTAGCTGCGGAAAGGGCAAAAGTAAAATTGTGCAACTGCTTAGCATTATGCAATGCTCTGTCCCTCTGTGACCGAGGTGACTTTATGATCTGGTGATGGAAGTGAATAAATGGTTTGTTTTAAGCAGATGGAAAACTTTCCTGTTGCTACCAAGCCTGTTTTAATGATGTAGTTGTCAGCCACGTCAGCTTGAAATACAATAGGCAGGATTCTGCAGGGCAAGGCTTAGTGTGAGAATAAGGATACCTGGTGTTCAATCCTAATTCTGCTACAGGCATCTTGACCTTGAATTAAACGTGCTTATTCACCTTCAGGCACTTGGAGCATTGGCATCAGGAGCATGGCGTTCAGGAGGCTGTTCCTCCTCTTGGATGATCGCCGTGGGTGGGATGGCTAAGGTCTGCGAGCTTTAGTAAAGGAAAGGAGGTGGAAGGCTTTTTGGTGTTTAAAGTGGCTGTTAACCTAATAACCTGTGTAAATTAAAAGATGCTAAAGCGGTGAGTTCAAAATTAAAGTGGTGGTTGTGACTTCAGACGTAAAAAGGTCCTGTGGAACACGGTGACCCGCGGGTTCGCGCGCGCACGGCCTCTGCCTGCCATGCCGTGTTCTCCGGGCAAGTCCGGGGAAAAAAGTCTTTTGCTTGTGTAAGCAGTGGGAAAACAAGCAGACACTTCATACTCTAGAAAGCCCAGTAAGCCTCAGGAAATTCCTGCATTCTTGATTTTATTTTGTGGCAAAGTGCTGTGTGGTGTGTTTTTGAAAGATGAGCAAGGTTGCCCTTCTCCAGCCCAGCGCCGCGGGTTCGATAAGCGAGAGCTGAATAGCTTATTGTTCCCCTGCGGGCAGCCCGATCAGCTGTCGCTGCTCCCCTCAAAAACACTGAGTTTATTTAGAAAGAAAAAGTGCTGACAGTGCATTTCGTACTAGAGGAAAAGGTTAATACTTACTGCTGCTGTTTCACGGGAGAGCTGTGCGTGAGGTGTCCCACCCTGAGATCCAAGAGCTTGAGCTTGGTTGTAATGTTATATTTAAATCCCTGTGCCCTGCTGATCTAGATCTGAGAACTACTGATTTTTTGGAAGTGGTCCTTTGTATTTCTACTTTTCCCCCCGGAGCTAGTTTCTCAGTTGGGAACGGGACTGATGGGAGTTTGCCAGGTCGTCACCCTTGTGAAAGATCCGTCAGTTGTAGCACAGAGAGGGGCAGGTGAGCACTCCATTACCTGTCTGCGCTCTATCTGCTATGTTCAATTCCTACCCCAATTCTCTTTTCAGACATGGCACCTCCTGCTAATAGTGCAGCTGACTTTTTCTGAGAAATAACACTGTGCAGGTGATGGAGCCCTGAACACACAGAATGTCACATACAAGGAAGATGTCTGCTGCACTTGAATCCTGTGCCTTGTTCTTGGCCTGCTTGGCAGAAAATGCCAGATCTGCTCAACTACTGTCTTCGTGTGGTACCTTTTTGTGGGTCTAGGAACTAAGCCACAGCTTATTGGAATTAGTGTCTTTGCCCAGTGACTTCTGAAAAGGTCGTGGAGTTGTTTCTATATTGGGATCACCCCTTTTCTTGAGGAAAGGGTGGAGGAGATGACACAAAGGGAGGAAGAGGTTTCTGCTGCTTCTTGCCTTGAAGGCTGTTCTTGAACGTCAGGCCTGCAGAGAAGCGTTAGGTTAAGGACTAGGCAGTGAATCGTTGCTGCAAGGAAGCACCACGTTACCGTGTGTTTTGGCACTCTTACCTGGCGACCTCCCCTCCTGTTCTCCATGGAAGTCTTGATGGCAAAGCTGCAGGTAGAATGGGCTTGTCGTGTTTGCGTTCCCCATGGCTAAACCTGTCACTTGTGCTGTTTTGCAAATCCTTTAGTAGTTCCGTAGCTGGGAACCGAGTTGTATTTCCTGATGAAGAGACAGAAGTTCGCCCTTTTATAGAAATTTTTCCTGAGGAAAAAAATGCACTTGCCCAGCTTTGCCTATACATCACGGTTTTGATTATTCTGTTCCGTGTTATGACCTTGCTGCCCATATTTTCTCCTTGTAGTGAGGTGCCTGGGTACTACGGTCTCAGAGAAGTGGTACTACCAAATTCAAGTGCTAATCAAGTCCATCTTCAAGCTCAAACACCACCTTTTTGCAGATTTTTTTTTTTTTTTTACAAGCCTAACTATATTTGTGCACATGTTCTGGGGTTTGGAGTCTCTCCAATGAAGCTGCATGATTTCTTCATTGCGAATCCGGGACCCCCTGAAGCTGTGTGCTCCCCCAGATGTGAATGCAGTTCGAGGCAACTGATGCTCTCGGTGCGTGGCAAGAGTAAGGAGGTGCTCAGGGTGTGCTTTCTCTGGGCAACGGGAACAGCGTGCTGAGGAGGCCAAGCTGGGCTCTGTTATTGCATGTCTTGGGCATTAGCAGTGAAGTATTTCGTTAAAAAATTGCATTTGGGCAGTGTTACCCATCTGCAGTTGTGGTGATGAAGCTGTGGGTGCCTGCAGTCACGGTGCAGGGATACAAAGCAAAAACTGCATGGTGAAGACCTGGATGTGACTTGTTTTGTTGCTGATTCTGAATTCAGCCTGGAACAACACGTCTCAGAAAGCTTTTGGGAAGAGCAGCAATAACAGTCAAGCAATAGCAGGCATCGCTGAAGCTTGAGTGCTCAAAGATCTTTAGATAAAAGTGCATATTTTATTGTTTTCGTGTGAGTTCATTGCCTGTGTGGAAGCCAAATAACCTCTACTAGTTGCATCGCTGAATATTTCTGCATTCTTAGCCTAAGGGATGATGCATTTCTTCTGTGTTTTCCTCCCGTTTGTCCGTCACTTCTCTACTCCCTCCCTCAAGTTCAGAATCAGTAAGGTAAGGAGATGAACAGCCTTGTGTAACGGGCTAATGTGGGAAGTGTTCATATTTGTAAATTGCTTGTAAAGTACTGTGTTAATACAAATAGATGACTGCAGTAATAATTATGCATAATAATAATATCAACACCTATGTCTGTGTGCTTTATGGGGCCTTTAGACAGAGGTATATTACTTGCAGATATCTTAAAAAGAAAAATAGTCTTCCTGGAGCTAATTCCCTAATGGGAAGTGCTATCCTGTTGGCTCTCCGAGGGGTGTCTTCATCTGTTTTGATGGCTTGGTTTGAGAGCTGCACAGCTGGAGACTCAGTAACCAACTGAATAATCCCAGCCGGGTGCCTTTGGGGAGTGCCCCAGTACGCACGATGTCTTGTTTCTGCATCGAGAGTAGTCTGCAAAGGAATGTGATAGAAACTCCCTGAAGTGATCTTCGGAGCTGACGTGGGGTATTGCAGCATTCAGTCCTTTTTCCAGACTGAGATTCAGTACATTTTTAGGCAGTGAGCGCTCCTTTTGGATGCCAAAAATGCACTTGACGCTTGTAAGTGATGCGCTGTTCAGCAATAAAGCCTTGCTTGTGGATCTGCACGTGGGATTGCAGGTTATCGGGTGGTTTTCCTGCGACCGTCGCGTCCAGGGCACAACCTCAGTCCTTTCCTGCCTGTGGATATCGTTAATCACAACGGAGCTTTGCTGACGTATTACCAATGAGGGAACACATTTTAAACTATATTTTACTAGTCAATTTTTATGGTGTTTAATGAGATTTTGTTTAATCTGCAGTGCTTTTGTTTGTTACAGAGATCCGAGCCCAATTGGTAGAGCAGCTGAAATGCCTTGACCAGCAGTGTGAGCTTCGGGTCCAGTTACTGCAGGATTTGCAGGATTTCTTCCGCAAGAAGGCAGAGATTGAGATGGATTACTCAAGGAACTTGGAGAAGTTGGCTGAGAGATTCCTGGCTAAAACTAGGAGCACCAAAGACCAGCAATTCAAGTAATTTGCCTTTCGTTTTTGCCCTTTTTTTTTCCACTGTAGGTGTGGTCGCAAGGTCAGGAACGTGAAAAGAGGATTTCTTCCGCAAGAAGGCAGAGATTGAGATGGATTACTCAAGGAACTTGGAGAAGTTGGCTGAGAGATTCCTGGCTAAAACTAGGAGCACCAAAGACCAGCAATTCAAGTAGAGTATTTGCCGTTTGTTTTTGCCCTTTTTTTTTCCCCTGTAGATGTGGTCACAAGGTCAGGAATGTGAAAAGAGCCTGTACAGTGAATGTTGGAGTAAAATGTTTTCCCAGTTTGTGTTAAACACCAAACCTATTGCATGTTTCTATGCAGCCTGGTTGCCAACTTCATTTTGGTAATTCCTGGTAGGTTATGTGTTGACAATAGGGAATAGCATGGTAAACACTGGCACGTCTAAGAGGTGGACAAAGCTGTACACCACATTTGGGGGACAAAGCCCGTGTTTCCTTCAGTGCTTTGGTCTGTTTTCTTAAGAGCAGCTGTTTCTGATCTGTTACAACACTCAAATCCTACACTGAGTATGTGTAGGGTACTGAAAACAGCACTGCAATAGCAAATCACTGCATGTATGTCTGCTATTATCACTTCCAAACAGCACAGAAACAAGGCCAGTAGTACTTCCAAATACATCTGTGCCGTTCTGGGGAGGGAATCCCTAGATACTGAGCTGATGGGACTCAGTTAAAACTTAAACATGTCCTTATTGACAACCAATTGTCTCACCTGCTTGGAACATTATTTACAGGTAGGTCTGACTATACTGCTTTGGTCGTTCCCTGCTTAGCTGTTTGGGTTGAGATGACTAAGATGTACCAAACGTGGTTTCTGAGCCTTCTGAGTTGCTACTGGCTCCTGCCTGGATGAAGGGACATGGGTGCTTTTCTGAGGAAGGAGGATGCAGGAGAGCACCTGTGGATGAAGGAGGAGCTGGTGCGGGATGCACGGCATGGAGACATCAGCCTGGCGAGGGGGTGCCCAGCACAAAGCCACAGCCATGGGTCTCCCCGTTATCTGTGCAGTGCACAAGCTTGTTGGGGTTTGTTGTCAGGGCAGCAGCTGGGGAAAACACTGAGCAACAGCAGCCTTGGGATGTGAATCACTTCTGCTTGGGACAGATTGGTCTGAGAGGATCCATCTGGGTCTGCCTCCGCCCAAAGTGCAATGGCACTTTTAGCATTGGTTGGGTCGGGTCATTATCTGTGGGTTTGTTGTTGTTGCTGTGTTTGGAGGGACGTGGGGATGCAGCAGCTCGCTCCTTTTGCGAAAGCCATTAAGTAGGCACCATTTTAGTTTCCTTTCTGTACAACTTTGATGTCATTTAGTTCTTATTTAAAACACACTCTGTGCTGTACTGCTGGGAAAGCAGGACTCCCAGACATAGCTATTTGGCAGGTCAGAGAGGAGTTCCTCTGCATGTCTGTAGAGCTGAAATTGTCTTAGGTGTTTTTTCTTTTTCTTTATGGTGAAAGTTATAACTACAAGCTGTGCATATGCTGCACATGCCTTTAGGATGGCACTAAGAAATGATGTCTTGAACTATAGTTTTCCTCTGCATCATGATTGGTCTTTTTCAGTTCATTTTGTTGTTACTCCTGGTGAAAATGGAGGTGATTTCCTTTCTATTACTTGATACGAAACATCCCACCAGAAATACTTTTGTGTCCAGCTTTCAGTGTATATATAAAATTGTGTATAGTTTACTTCCTATTTTGAGACTTAGCGTGAACTTTAAATGTGGAAGTTTTTAGCACAGTTGATCATAATCCTACGTGGTGTCATGGTGCATGTGAATTAGCTACGCTGGCTATGATACTGCAGGGTTTTTAATTGTTTGTTCCAATGCATTTTCCTCACTGGCCCCTGCCCCTGGTTTTGGAGCTGTTTGTACTTGAGATGGGCTTTATGAAGTCATGCCTGGACAATATTCACCTCAGAGACCCTAGCTATTGAGTGTAGCACGAATTGGATGGGTGATTTTTATCAGCACATAGAACTTCCACTTGAATTTCCAAATTAAATGTCCGTGTTTTACTGGTCAAGTCCAGGGCACTGTCCAAGACACTTGGAAACCCGTTACAGAGCATCCCTTTCACTTTGCAGAGAGGCTGATGCTGCTCAGGCTCCTGATTCTGCCTGGATGGCAGCAGGTAGCTCCTGGCAGAAAAGCATCTCGCTCTTGGAGTATGTTACCCCTGCAAGGTTTGAGTCCCAGATGTGCAAGTCGTTGGCCAAGAGCAGGAATAAGGGCAAAAATAACTGTGGCTTGCGGGTCTGTGGGCGGTGTCTGTCACAGCAGCGGTAAAGCTGTCTGCCCTGGGTAGCCCCAGCCATTTCTACTTTGGACATTTCTGTCTGCTGGCTGTAACGTTCAGAAACATGTCAGAATACCACAGGGATCAGTGAGGAAGCAATGCCAATTGTAATTACCTATCCTCAACACTGCTCTGTCTGAATAGTGAGGGCGAACTTGGCTGGTGTCTTCGCTGAGGATGCTGGGGCTGTAATCTCATTTGGAAGCCCCCAAAGACTGATCAAAGCCAGCCATTGGATCTCTCCTAAGGAGCCTGGTATTACAAGACCTGGAGATGTAGGCAGGCGGGTGGCTACTCTGTAATTGCCTGGCTGCGACCCTATAAATACACAGTAATGGCACGTTCTTCCGCTAACACAATAATTATGTCGGAAGATACCATATCATTCAGTGACTGCTCACCATGTCACTTACTGTCTTTAGGTCTCATAACACACTGTCAAGGAGGAAATCTGTCAGGCAGTCACCCTGTAATTTGCATGTGCTTTCATACTCAATAGCTATTACGTAATTGCCGAGTTGCTCCCAACGTGTTCATTTAAGGGAATGCTGTCAGGGGCAGGAGGCTTCAGCCTGACCCTTCAAATTGGATGGTGCGGCTCCCTCCGCCACCCATATCCAGGCTGGTAAAAGCACATGCTTAAAGTAAAGAACAGCGTGAAGCGCAGGTTGGTGTTGGGTTTACAACGAACGTATCACGGGTGGGTTATTTTTCTTGGATGTGGTGACATCACAGGGTGAGCCGAGCAGGTGGCTACGCTTTCCAGAGAGGTTTTGCAGTGTCGGTGGTTGGGTCTTGACAGCAAACTCTGTATAGCCAGGGATGGGCTTAAAGGGGGCTTGCAGATGGCACAGTTTGAAGCCAGCTTCACTGGAGCATCTTAGGGTGATTTACAGAGGTAGGTGTACGATACGATACTCCCGTTTTGTATCTTGGAAGAAGGGGAACAGATTGGTTTAGCCAAGGTGACATATGAGTTGATGACAGTTGGATATATCCCAGGTTTTACTTGCTTTTAACTACTCTACCATGGCTGTTAGACCTCACTTTGCCTGTTCTTTTCTGATTGAAAACACATTTTTAAAAATAGACTGTTAAAGAGAATAGTCATAAAATGTATATATTTGGTAAGGCTTCGCCAGTTCCCGTCAGTGAATCCCTTGCCCAAGACGTAAGGACTGGAGGAAAAAATGGATTTCACAGCCCAAATCTTGTAACTCCTGTTATTACAAGAGCTTGTTGGTCACAAGTTTGGTATAGTCATAGCTCCTTAAAGGTCCGTCTAGCTAATGGTCTCTTGTGCAGCATTTAAATCAGCATCCGTCCAGCCTCCGGGGGGGCTTGGGGGTCCCTGAAGGCAGCAGTGCTGGGTGTGGGTCTGGCTTCCATCCTTGGGGAAGGATCTCCCACTGCAGTGAAACCCTGAGACCTTCAACTCCAGACTTCAATACTCTTATTCCATGTGATTTTGTTCTAAAGGCATTTGCCTAATCAAATAATCAGTTAACAATACAAAAACTGTGGCAAACATTGAGCGATTCCTTTCAAGGGAGAAATTGGAGGGGGGGGGAAAAAAAAGGAAAGAAAAAAAGACAATGCTATTTTAAGGCCATGTTTTAAATCAGAATAATCTTTGGATGTAGGATAGTGAGCAGCAATTGTCGCTGGAGAGCTGAATGTCCAGGATATCCCAGCATGAAATTCAGATGGCTTTCTGGCAGCCTTTGCCTTGAAGTGGAAGATGCAGAATAAGTCTGGCAACCTTCAGGCTGAGCGCTTGTAAACAACAGATGTTCATAACTGGAATCTTTTGGAAGAGAAGGGCAGGGAGCAGCCTGTATGTCCATACTTGTAATTCTCAAAATTTACCGTTAACACTGAGCAGTGTCAGGGAGGCTTTATGGGAAATCAAGCGTTGATGTGAACGAGCAGCTTGCAGAGGAGTTCAGCTTTAGTCTTCTGAAGGCTGAAATGATTTCTTTAACGGAGAGATGGTAGAGGCTGTGAGAGAGGTATAGGCAGAAGCGTTTGGATCAGGTGGGCTGCAGTGACGTTATTATATTGTTATTTTAATCGGTAATTATTGTCATAGGCTATTCTGGCCTGTGATTCTTTTTGATGGAGCTGACTCCTGAACATATTTCTTTCCTGAGTCTTTCAAATACCAATATTTAGAGGATTTTTCCAAGCGTGAAACATTAATTTATTCAGTGACCTCATTGAACGTGGAGAGCTAGGGATGCATCACCAGCACAAATTGATGGAAAACCCCAGGGAGGATCTTTGTGGTGTTTTACATCATCTCAGCCATCCCAGTATTGCGCTGTGTTGGCTGGTAAGATTGTAGCTATTCCTACGGAGCGCACTGCAGAGGGCAAAATTCAGACAGGCTTGAAAAACTACAGACAGAAACCCGTGCGTCTCTGCTCTGACACTTGGCCTTGCTCTGAGGGTTTGCGGGGTGGACTTGGCAATTGCATGGATCTGAAAATAACTTCTTTTCATCTCTCCCCTTGCCTCGTGGGAGCAGGTAGCTCAGGCGAGCTGGGCGAGGGTCAGCGCTGCAGAGCTTGCGCCCTACGGCGCTCGCAGACCTGAGCCCGTGGATCACCGCGGTGGGAACGGCGATGCGTGCAGGTTACCCCGCCCAGCGGGACATAAAACTTTTGTGTGTAGCGCCAGGAGACTTGGTTTAAAACCCTCAGTACGTAGGAAGGATGGTCGGAGAAGATTTCTGTTCACACGGATGATGCGATGTGCCCATGTTAATTTAAATGTTTCACTCTTTCTAGTTAGTAATATTTTCATTCTCATCTGACTCATTCCTTCGTCTTGTGCTCCTTATAGAAACCCAGTATTCCTATTCCTGGTTTCTGGGTGTGTGTTTTGGGGTTTTTTTTTTAATCTAGTAGGGGGGAGGAGTTTGTTATTTAAGGTAATTTTTCTGCCGTCCCTCTGAGCAGCGTTACCTGGCAATGCCCAACCAAGTGTCGCCCTTGTCGCTCTCTCCTGCTTGCCTTAAAGCAGGCAGATCTTGGATTGTTGGAGAGTTCCTTGTATGAATGAGTAATTTAATTAAGACGTTTCAGATTCTTGGGACTCAATCTTCCCTTCTGATCTTGTGAGACCGACTGAAACCTTTGAAGTGGCAGTTGCGCAGGACCCGATCAAGATAACTCCCAAGAAACCACAGAGCTTCATGCTTTGTGGTTCCTTAAGAATCTGTGCACAACTTCCTCTTCCTGCTCCCAAACACCTCCGATTGCTGTGATCTGGTGTAATTTAGGCTAACCTAAATAAACTCTCCAGATTCACTATCATCGCACGATCTTTAAATGAGTATAAATAGTGCTTGAAATAAACCTGGATCTTGGCATCCTCCTCCTTCCCTCGTGGGGGAAGGTTGAGTCAAACAATTGTTGGGAATGTGAAATCACCAGCGTTTTAGGACCTGGATGTGAACTTTTCCCAAAGTTTTGGGTTGATCTCATCAATTTGAATTCTTAAGGGTGCACAGGGACTCCAGTTACTCTGCAGAATCGGCGGAAATCGCGCTCACTCTTACTACACCCAGCGCTCCCTGTTGCGCGTTTTATTTCCCTTTCTCACTCCTCCTCCCTGGTGACACGAAACCCAGAGCGGAGTGTATTTGCCAGCTCCTTGGAGAATTGAAATGGTTAATGAAAATTTGCTTCTCTGCCATCTGCTTGTGGTTACGATAGAAAAGGGTCTGTTGTAAACAGTTGGATAACTTCTGCTCTGTGTTGTGAAAACTGTTGCCGTGTTCCACCCCAGAAAATGCTGCGTTTTTAGAGGAGCTTTAACAGTTAATGTGTGTGGAGTTTTAAAGGCTGGTTGGAAGGTTTGAAGCAAGTAACTACCTCTTTCCTTTTCGGTTTCGTTCCTGTCTTAAGGCCTGCCTTTATCTGCTTTTGGCCAGTGCAAGAAAATTGTCACTAGCAGATAATGGAGAGGGTTTTTTTTTTCTCTTTTCCTATAAAAACTCTGTTGTGAAAACGCTCAACTGGCCCAAAAGCGACCCAGGCCATTTAACAAGGTACTGAAGGGGTTAATGAAACCTGCAGACACCCAGAAATTAAAGGAATTTAAACAAGAAACCTCGAAGCGCCCAGAGCCGCGGTTGCATGAGGCTGAGCTCCGGGTGCGGCGCTCGCTGCGCAGAGCCGAAGGTGACAGTCCCGGTCGCGGATTGGAAGCATGTGGGATTGCGATTATTTTTTCCTGCAGGGATGGCCTTTCATGTCTAACCACATGGAGTGTGTCAACAACCCATCTGGCGCCATCAGACACCAGCAGTTTTACTCACCATGCTTTCCATGGGCCCTTGGTATTCCTGCTATGTGCTGCCTCGGAATAGCTTCTCGGGTGTTGCGGTAGGGCAGCCCGGACAGCTGGGAATTGTCCGGTTAACTATTGCGTCTCTCCCGCATCCTGTTCGGTGCTGCAGCTCTCTTTGGAGAGCAAGGCACCTGTCCGGTGCTGCGCTCGGGCCCCTCACACCCTTGGTCCCTACCGCTCGCAGCTTGAGGTGGGGCTGGACCGGTGCCTCGGTGGGAGCATCCATGAGCGGCCAAGGGCTCTGAGTGGAGTAGACAGCAGAAATTCCTAGTGAGATGGAGAACACGATGGGAGGTCTTAAGGATCAAAACCGCTGGGTTTTTGGGATGGCAGTTCGTGCAGATGAGTGGGGGGAAGCCTGAGAAGGTGAGTCGGCAGGCTGCGCGCCGCTGGCCGCTGGAGATCTGCGTCTGCGCTGGCCTTAGGGGAGAGCGAAGCGGCCAAGTGATGAAGAGCAACGGGCTGCTCAGGGTTTTGAGGCAGGATTTCCAGCAGCTAGAACGAGGTCAGCTGGGGGAAGAGTCTGAGCTTTCTATTCCCAGGTTTCATTCCCAAACTTCTTCTGGTAGTTGGTTAATTTTGACGTGTGGTAACTCTTCCAGCTTTAGAGGGCGGATGCTGAGTGAGCGTGCGAAGTACTTTGTCCTTGGTGTAATGGAGCAAACCAGCCAACTGAACATCTTCTGACACTGTCCTTCACAAACATCTCTTCACAACCACCCACGATACTGTTTCGTGGAGTTTGCTTCCTGCCCTCTACCTGAACCACAGTCTGTCTGGTGGCTCTCCAGATGGCACCTGCACCTCCGACCTGGCACCGCTCCTTGGACGCGCGATTTCTGGAGGTGCCTTTCCCCTTCCTGCCCTCTCTTTAGCGAGGAAAGCTGGGTGTTTTTTCTTGTCTCACCTAAAGTAAGAAAAACCTTAATGCGTGTGTTACCTTCTCTTGTGGTGGCAGCTTTTATCTCCGTTCCAGCATCGGCTCTGGATCTGCGCGTGTGCCCTCCGCGGGCTGGCTGCCGCCGGGTCAGTACCCACAGATTCACAGTTCCGTTAGCTGGGTCTCGCAGTTGCTAATCAGCTCTCCGGTATATTAACAAAGCACATGCTAATGCTGCAAACACTGATTGCAGATTGGGGGTAACTACTTGATTTTATGTAGCTTAACATCTGGCAGTTTCCACCTTGTACAGTTCTGCAGTTGGAGTGTTCCATCTGGTTTTGTGCGCCAGCAGTATCTGCAATACAGGACGCTAGAGTAGGAAGGAAAATTCTGCCTCTAAGTAAAATCTGTGCCTTTTGACATTTTACTTTCTTTTTTTTACTCAAAGCACCAGGGGAACCAAAATCTCAGTCCTTTTTATCATAGAATCATAGAATGCTTTTGGTGGGAAGGGACCTTAAAGCCCACCCAGTGCCACCCCCTGCCATGGGCAGGGACACCTTCCACTAGACCAGGTTGCTCCAAGCCTCATCCAGCCTGGCCTTGGACACTTCCAGTGATGGGGCATCCACAACTCCTCTGGGCAACCTGTCCCAGTGCCTCCCAACCCTTTGCAGGAAGAAGAGTTCCTTCCTGATACCACCTCCCACTACATGCACACTTCAAACCTTGAAGCAGCCCAGATCACCAGCTGCAGTCATTTCCTGAGCTTTTCATATTTTTTTAAGGAAAAAAAAGCATCAAGATCAGCTGTTCTGAAACTATTCTTCTTTAGATAAAGTTATCTGTATTGCACTACAAATCCAGCTGTTGATGTCATGGGAAATGTAGTGAAAGTCTGCCGTGGCTTAAAGTTCACGTTTTCAGTGTCAGACATTTCTTGCAGCAGAGATTGCTGTGCTTTTAAGTGCAGAATATTCCCTTTCAGTGGAAATTAAACTGCATTTCTTTTAAGAGGAAAGAAATCTGATACAGTCACTTAAAATAATCAAGAGGAGTTTTGGCTTTCCACCAGAGATCTGACTCTTTTTTTTTTTTTTTTTTTCCCTAAATAAATATTGTTGTACCATAAACAAACGATAAACAGATCAGGAGAGGAGTGAATAATATAGTGAAGGCTACACCTAGATCCACCGGTCGTAACCACTGCTGCGGGGCTGCTGGAGGGCCGTGCAGAATCGCTGCTAACCTCCCTGCTTTCATCTGCTCTGCAACGGTGCCTCGAGAGCTGACTTAACTCCTTGCAGGAGATGAAACGTTGATCCAAATAAGCTGAGGTTCCTCTCGTCACCCCCTCTGAATTGCTTATTTGCAGCGTGCAGGGCGAGTCAGCCACAATGAGGCGGAGGAGGTTCAAAGATGAGAAAATAGAACTTGTTGTATGAACGTTGCTTTCTCTTTTGCTCAGAGGAGAGAGAGATGCTTGCACATAATTGTTTTACACATGAAATATAACATTTTGTTTCCTATGCAGATGCTCTTTAGCTAACTGGACGCTTCAAATCTTTTTATTGTGGTTAAGTCACAAATGCCCGAGACGGCGCTGTGAAACCCATTGTCAGACGCTGGAGCCATCGCTCTCCCTCAGGCACTGTAATTTATGCACAAAATCTTAGATTAAAAAGAAAAAATGAGAGCCTACGTTTGGCATACTGTAGCATGCGTTTCCCTGGTCTGTTTGTTGGGGGACAAAAAGCATGTGATAGTGTAATTGAGGGTCTGTTTTCTGTGCCATGGCCTTTTTATAGCCTTCCCCTGCTCCCTTCAGCGAATCCATACGTCCCGTAGCTGGGTTTCCAGGATTCATAGATACAGAACATGAACAGAATCGTTTTGTCCCCTTTGGAGTCCTATCCAATTCTTGTTTCTATTTTGTGTCCTTTATAGGAAGGATCAGAATGTGCTATCGCCAGTCAATTGCTGGAATCTCCTGCTAAATCAAGTGAAGCGGGAGAGCAGGGATCACACCACCCTCAGCGACATCTATCTCAACAACATCATCCCCCGCTTTGTCCAGGTCAGCGAAGACTCGGGGCGCCTGTTCAAGAAGGTAACTGAGTGCTACAGCGCACGGATTTTTGTTTGGCCCTTCTGGAATGCAGAGTTGTAGCCATTTCTGCTGGTGGAACAATTTATTGTTGGCTGGGCATAACACATGGGGCTTTTTTTCCTCTTTGTGAATGACTGTGCTTGACTTACTTTCATTTCTTCAGCAATTTTATTCCAGTATTTTAGGATTTTCCCCAGAAGCATTCAGTTGAGATTTGTTGGTCTAAATTCAGGCCACATTTTCTCCTCTGAACCTGCTCAGTTTTGTATGTGGTTTGAAACTTCTATTAGATAAGCAGAAACCCTCCAGGTCTTCAGCTCTGATTGTAATCAGCAACAACTCTCTGAAGACAAATTTATATCCACCACAGAGAAGAAACTACTGTTAACAGAAAAATTAGGGAGAGTTCTTACCGTGCTAGATAATAAAAGGATATGTTGTTCTTCTCTGGATAAAGAAAATGCAGCTAGGTCTCTCTGGTTAGCCTTGTCCCCTTTCTCTCCACGTGATTTCCACCTAGAAAAGAGAGGTGGGACAGCGTGGGAGGGTATTTGTCTATTAAGGATCTGTTCTTCCATTTGAAGAAACATGATATGGAAGCCTTGAAACTCCTAGTAAATGGTAACGCCTGGTCTCTCAGAGATTTGTCAATCACTGTAATATCTGCTAGTTAGCATGTTAAAAACAATGCAATTCCAACTTTGAAAGCAATTTCTCTTCTCCCGGTCCCCACCCCCTTGCAATGTGTCACGGATCTTGGAGGGTTACATCTACTATTGCAAGGCCTGGAGAGGGGGTTGCAGACAGACTTGAGCTTCCTGAAGAGTATTTGTGTGGAGACTCATCCTAAATCGCTTTGTCTCTGGGAGAGAAATGGAAGAGGAACGCTTTTGATGACAAACTCCCAGTGTACTTTTATGTCTGTCTCTGCTTTTGGTGGTGTCAGTTGTTATATTAAGAGAGTCATGTGAGTCGTGTGGGACTTGAAAATCTGTTTAGGTGCAGTCAGCAGTAATTGGGGGCCTCATTGGCTTTCCACTATGGTCTTGACAGTTTTGAAATGTCA